TTGCTCTGTTTGGGCCTGCCTCTGCTACAGGCTGGCAGCTTTGGATGACTGCCTCGGTGGCATGTGTGCCCCCTTCTCCTTCCCCAGGATGCTCCCTGCTGTCCATGCAACAGCCTCAGGGGAGATGCCTTGGCCTGCAGGCAGACAGGCCCCTGCTTGCTTCTCTGAAGGATAGGAAGTGACACTTGCGCTGGCAGCAGCCTGCATCTATGCATGGCTTACAGGTCAGAACTCACTGGCAGTTATCCGGCTCGGACAGGCTGCCAGAGTCATGCCAGCTGACACAGGGGCTAACACAGCATGGAGGAGGGAGGGTGGGAAGACACCACAGTCAGGCAGCAAGAAGGGTAGGACCCATCACTTGAGGAGAAGGGGTAGGAGGGTCTCACTCCCTCCCTCTTGTCATTTAAGAGCAGGAGTGCTTGTGTCAGGCTGCCTCCCAGAAACTGGAGCAAGCCCCAGTGCTGCGTTGAGGTTGGTAGCGAGGTTCATGTCCTTCTGCAAAACAGTCCCTGCTGGGTAGGATAGACACACCGGACACAGCTTGAACCCAGCTGGCCCAGGGATCAATAGCTGTGTGGCTTTGGCCAAGCAGAACTCAGTACGGCCTGCAAAACAAAGCCAGGAGACAAGGGTAGAGCCTCAGGTGGGTTTTGCTGCCCACACTGTGCTCCATGAGGTGATGGCTAGGCAGCTACCACTCCCTGAGCAAGCTAGTTTAAAGCCAGTCCTGGCTGTCTGCGCAAACACTGAAGAGACTGCAGTATACATGGAGCCTGAGTGACTCCTAGGAGGTGCCCGTAGGCAACATGCCTCCAGGCAGAGATGGGAGGTGTCTCTTCCATGCCACCGAGCAGCAGATTTATCTCTACAGTTAACCATCTGGACAGCAGGAGGATGGAGAGGCCAGGCGGCACCAGTGGCACAGCGCTCCCGGTCCGTGTGACCCGGGGAAATTGCTTGTTAACCCACTGGCCCTTTTATTTCAACACCGAGTTGCCTGGGGGTGGGGAGGAGGATCTTGTCAATCTGCCAGCAACACTTGTCCCAGGCTCAAGGAGGAGGGTGAACACACTGCTCTGGAGCCAGGGCTGGGGAATGACGCTGGCCTGAGAGCCCTGGAGAACAAATGTGCACCAGGCAGCCACAGTGCCAGCTTCCCTCACATGCTGCCCACCAGCCTGCTTCAGCCCTGGTGCTATTCTAGGAATGACATACATTCCCTGAGGGCTGTGCAGCCCTTGTCCCCGCTGCTCTGGTGCCTGGTCAGCACCAGAGGGACAGTGCAGTACTGTAGCAAGGGTGGGGGCAAGCAGGGTGACTGCCCCAGGCACCAAAGCAAAGCAGTGCCAACAGGTGATGGCTAGCCGGGGCAGGGCCTGGGACAGAGCCACAGGTGGCTTGTTTGGGGTGGCATGGGGACGGGGGGAGGGCAGCTCCCACTACTGTGTGCAGTCCTGGGCAAGCATGGGGGGCATGTGCCCCCAAGATCTGTGTGTGGGGCGAGGGCAGGCTTTGCCCCGGCCACCAAACGTCGTCGCTACAGTACTGGGACACTGCGTCCTACTTGGACTGAGAACTGGAAGTCCTTTCATGGGGCCTGCCAGTTCTCTCTCCGTCACGGAGGGCTTTCAGTCTCTCATGACTTGCAGCCAAGGTAGAACCAAAGCCCCATTCACGAAACCTTCTGGAGCCTGGGTTTGAGTCTCTGAGGCATCCGTCTCATTAAGCATATAAACATGATATTGTCTATAAAAGCAGATCACTGATGGCTCAGGAGGCAGAGGCTCAGATGTGGGGTGTCTTGGCAGAAAGGACTACCCAGAACTGATGGTTGGGGTTGAGAAGGCCCAATCTCATTAAAATTCAAAAACATTTTATACAGCCTCAAGCAAAGTTATTTATCAAGTAACAAGGAACACTGGTGATACCTACAGAGGGAGGAGGAATATCTCCTAGAAAGCAGTGAGTCTGGAGAGGATTTAGGGTTGTAGCAGACAAGCGTTTCAACACAACCTTCTAGTGTGATGCTGTGAAAGAAAGGCTAATGCAATGTATAAATAAGGAAGGAGGATCAGGGAGGTGATTTTTCCCTCTGCATTGAACCTTTGTGTGATCATGCTAGGACATAGTGTCTGGTACTGGCATCAACATTTTTAAAGGATGTTGGAAAATCGAAAGTACAAAAAAGACCCACAAAACTGGTTTGAGGACTGGGGAAAATGCCTTTCAGAGAGGGAGAAAGAGAAAGAGACAGAGAGAGAGCTCAATCTGTTAAATCTGTCAAACAGAAGAGGGAGGGGTAACATGATCTCAGCATATAAATGAGTCCACAGCGAGAAGAAAAACAGATACTGAAGATCTTATGAATCTGGTGGAGAAAGGTATGAGGAGGACCAAGGTTGGGAAGCTGCAGCCAGACAAAGCGAAATGAGAAAGAGGGCATTAACAGGGATGATGATATCCATTGAACCATACTACCAAGGGAAATGGTGGATTCTCCATCTCTCAAAGTCTTCATATCATAGATGTGTTTCTGGACCACTAAAGCATGTTGGCTTAGTTAGGAGCATCTGGGTGAATGTAATGGCCTGTATTACACAGGATGTCAGACTAGCCTTAAACCCGATACAAGACTCTTATGCCTCTCTCTTCTGCTATCTCTCTTTCCATTCCTAGATAAGATGCACTTGAATAATGCTGTGGTCAGCACCCCTATAGTCCCCCAGATTGGCCTGCCACACTCCCACAGCAACCGCCTGCCGATGACAAGCACCATGCCCCTCCAGGCTCCAGACTACACCAAGTATGCCACGCTCAAGGCTGTAGGTATGTGCTGCCACACCCACAAGTCCGGAGCCAGGGTGGAGCTGCTTCACCCAACTGTGCTTCCTCGAGTGCTGCTTTCCCTCCCCCTTTCTTTGACCCAATTCGCCGGGTGACATCACCATATTGCTGCCATCCCACACCCCAGTGACAGCAGCAACTGTGATTTCACAAATGCCAGTGGGAGTGGGATGAGATGGGGAGGAAATGGGACAGCACTGGTGACAGGACGGAGAACAATGCAGCCTCCAGCTATGGCTCTTACGCACACTTTTGTGGGAGGAGGTGCAAGTGTAGCTGGGCTCAGGCAAAGCTTAGCACAGGTTTGCAGGGAGCATTATTGCCAACCCCACCGTGTCACAAATCAAGAGACAAACTCTTAAAAAACCAAGAGATTTGGTATGTGAATCATAAGATGCTCCGTTCTAACCCCCTTCCTCCAACTCATCGCAGATGTGCCCTGAGCAGCCCCCCCACCCCTTGTGGCCTTGGCTCGGTGCTGACCTGGCAGAGCTCCCTGCACCCCCACGCCACCCCCACGGCTTGGCCCCACCAGGGCTCTCAGGGACTTTGCAGCTGGACACAGCTCGGTTGGGGCCAGAAGAAAGGATCCCAAGACTTGGGAGCTCTATCATGAGATCAGGAGTCAGACTGAATTTTACTTCAAATCCTGACATTACTGGGGGAGCGCTGCACCCGGGGTCCCACCGGGACGACAAAGGGCAGGGGCGGTTTGAGGAGGGAAAGCTGCTGCTTTCATGGAACAGGGAATGACTTGGAGAGAGGTCATGTGGTCACCACCCAATCAGCATCCAAAATTCCCCACCATTCCAAAGCCTCCTCTGAACCTATCAACAGGCAGGAACCTAACAAGGTTCCGGAATGTTCATATGAGCCAATCACAAGCTGGGAGTTTTGCATGTTTCCGACACGCTGTTTTTCCAGGCAGTCAGCCTCCGGGATGCACCCAGCCTGCCAAGGTCATCCCCCTTGGCCCACCGGGCCCTGGTTTGCCTCATGGTCTTGTCTCATGGAGAGCTGCCACCAAGGATGTCAGACGGTGGGGAGGGGGAGAAGTCATCCCAGCGGACAGAGGGGCTACCTTCGTGCCTATCAGAACGTTTCGGTCCAGGAAGGGGTTGGGTGTCCTCCATTTTATCTGATCTTTTTGCTCTTTTGCAGAAAGCGCACCAGAGGAATTCTACAAGCGGTTTCCTGCCGTAGACATGCCACCACCAGGCACGCTGTCCTTCCCACCCATGGGGCTGCATCAGAAAGACACAACTACCCTGCAGGATGGCTACCCCCTGGTCGGCTTGGCCACACCTGGGCAGAAGGCAAAAGTGGTGAAAACCAACGCGCACACCCTGGCAGCCAGCCCTGGCTTCAAGGGAGGCTGGGACCCTAGCCACCACCATCACCACCCTGACATCCGCCGACAGGTCTATGCCACCAAGCGCCAGTTCAGTATTGAGAAGCTGCCTGAGGTCTTCAGCCAGACGCCGTCCCACTATGTCCCTCCCCAGCGGCACTTCTCCACCAATAGCAAGACTGAGGTCACCGTCTAAAAAGGACCTTCATCTTCTCTTTTTTTTTTTAATATCCCTGCAGCCTCTGGGGCTGGCAGTTAGCCAGTCGAGAACACCTGATTGCAAGGTACCAGAGCTGCTTGCCTATCACAGCTGGCATTGCTAGGTTGTGTGGCAGGAGACAAGAGAAGGGTTGTGGGAGGACCCACCAGAACCGACACACCACGCACTCCCCCTCCCCCCCAGAGTACTTGGTTAACGTGCATGGTGAACCAGGCATGCATGCTGTCCTGTGATTGATGCACGGCTTTTTTCCAGTTCACCTGTCCATCATCTCACTTCTGTAGCAGACTGGTCAGTGTTGAGGGAAGCCAAGGAGACTCCAGTGCGGTTCTCCGTGGAATCACATTGTACCATTGCTAGAGGGAGGCACAGACCTCTTAGGGGAACGACAACTCTTAGAAGATGGGAGCGAACAACAACCAGTAAGTCCCTTGGTGTTTGCCTACTTACCCTGTTCCCTCCCTCTTCCTCTTGATGTCATTTTTAAACCAGGCGACAGAATCACAAGTACCGAAAGTATAAATAACTGTACAAACAAGCAGCTGTCAAGGGCTTGAGATGAATTTTAGACGTCTCCCTTTACCTCCTGCTGAGCCCTTTATTCCCATAGCAAATACTGGGTTTGGGGGGCTGTACTGGGTTTGGGGGTTTGTTCATCTCAAGGCTGCTTCTCCCCACTTTTCTGCTATTCCCACTGCTCCCTCCCTCTCCCCCTGGATCTCTCCATCACCCTGTGTGGAGGTACTTGAGGTATCAACAGGCCGGCTCATCTTAGAAAACTCGAGTAAGGAGGTGCCTGCCAGGACAACATGGAGGCTCTCATGTAGCACTCAGCCTGGCCCTTGAGGGGTTGTGCCCCCTGAGGCCAGGAATTACTGTCTTATGCTGCTGTTGCAGGGGAAAAGCAGAGCAAACCTACTCTAAACTCTCTCCTGCCTGTGATAGAAGTGGACTACATGAGGCACAGCCCCCACCCTCCTTGTTTTCTCCACAGTGCACAGAGCAGTGGGATTCCCTTCTCCCCCCAGTCCCCTGGACATACTGCTGGGCTCCAATTGTCCCACAACCTGGCCAGACCGGGGCCCTACTCCCTCCTGCACTTTGGGAATCTCAATCTGGCCCCCACCAACCCCTCCCCCCAAGCATACAAAGTACCTGCATAATTTTTCATAACTTTAGAGTTTTTCTGCACATAATTTTGAGTGGCTTCAGCAGGGGCCACCACCCCTGTAGTTTTCAGGCCACTGCACCTTAACACACACAGGGTCATCTACGTCATGAGTTTTACCTGTCAGCAGTTTGAGGTGCAGTTCTCTCCCAAACCTCTGAACCCATCACCTTGAAACTTGGCATGCTTTGTGTCCTCAGCAGGAGCCACCACCCCTGCAGTTTTCACCCCCCTGTGGTGTAACGCATACACATGACATGAGTTTTGCTTTCAAGAATCTGGGGTATGGTTCCCCCCAAACTCCTGCACCTATCTTCTTGGAACTTGGCAGGCTTCATGCTCTCATCAGCAGCTACCACCCCTGCAAATTTCATCCAAATCAGACAAAAAGCAAAGTTATAGATATTTCATTGATTCCCCATTATACCCTAAGGCCGGATCTCTGAAGCAGCTCCAAAGCAGTTCAGAAGCTCCGAACCACTTTGGAAAGACTAAAGAAGCCAGCAGTTTGATCCGGACATGCTGCTTCGGTGTTCAAAGCGTCCAAATCTTCTCCCAATGCGAAGCGCAGTCCAAAGCCTTGCACAGCTCTACTAACTATGCACTGTGTAGCAGCCTCTGGTACTATACATGGGTCACAGTTTTTGATGTCATGCTGCATACTTCAGTTTGTTTGTTTTATAAACTCTGTACAGTGCCGTGGTGCATGGTTTTTGCCATGCAATGCTCCTGCGCAGTAGTATCGACCTACTGCGCTGTCAATGTCTCATGTAGACGTGCCCTACCACCTTAGATGGAGGTGGCTGCAGTGGTGGGCTGGGCTCCATGCTCTGATGGAGCTGTGTGGGGAGCAGCACAATGCCATTTGCCTGCCATGTGCTAGCGGTGCCTTCACCATGTCCCCTGCCCGCCCAGCACCAACCACCTACAGGGTTGTGTGAATGCCTTACACTACACATTGTCCTCCTCAGCCAAGCTCCTCCTGTGCAACTGGGGTCTTGCTAAAGCCATGGGTTGGGCCAGCTGTTCTTGGACTGGGCTGTACAGTATTGGCTTCCTGGCCCTTTCTTGCCTAGTGAGTGGTACCCATGACAGAGCATCAATGTGGTCTTCCTAGACAGGGCAGCACACACAGGCCAAGCCAAGCCTGGGCAGGCTGGTCACCCTCTCCATCTCCTACCTTCATGGCACTAGGTCTTCCATAAGCACTTGTATTTTCAGGGGTGTCTTCCAGGCAGCTACCTATCCATCCATCCATCCATCCCGAGGAGCTGGAATGAAGCCATCGACTGATTTCACCCTGCCTTCTCCCCCATACAGAGATCTGATGGCAATGAATTTCAGTTGCTCCCATGCAGGGAAGACCATTGACCCAGTGCCCAAAAAGGGCAAGGCTCCCTCACATCTTCACTCTAGCCTCAGTTTCCTTGAGACTATGGACCCCCCTGAAATCATAATAATGCAGGTACTATGCCCCCGAGAATAAGGAAGGCTGCAGGCTGACAGGGGTTGAGTGAGCAAGGACTGGAGAGGGGCAGACAACAGATGGACACACAATTCACAGCAGTGGCAGGGAGAGGGGCAGGGGGGCATGACAGGTATGCGGTAGGCCTATGCGAAGCAGCTAGTATTCACTTCAGATTCAGATTCGGCTGATTTGGGGGACAGCAATTCAATTTGGTGATCCCCCGCCTGCTCTCCCAGCCCTGGCAATCACTGGCCCACCTGTCCAAGCTCCCTGCACTTTGAAAGAAAAAAAAAAAAAAGCCCCACTCATCGGGTGCTGCCGGGCAGGGGGACAATCCCTGCTGCCCGCAATGCACCACGCTGCAAGGGGAGCTCTGCACAAGCCCCCGCTCGCCCCCACCCCACTCTCCCTGCCTCCACCAAGGCTGCCCCACCAACCCCAGCTGTGGTCCTTAAAGAACAAACCCCGAATTCACCAGTTCCTGCTGGGGGGGAGGGGTGATCCCTGCTGCCCCCCCATTTACCTGTGCCAGGGAGGGGGCTCTTCCACGAGCCCCCTGAAGCCCCAAAGCCACTGCAGGAGCTGGTGAGCCCAGGGGGTGGGGGAGGTTATTTTTTCTTAAAGGCCCGGAGCTGGGGCAGGCAGTGCAGCAGGGGGGCTTGGGGGTCTAATGACAGAGCCCCCCATGCAGCATGGGGCAGTGGGGATGGCCCTCCCACCAGACAGCACCCAGTGAGTGGGGCTGTTTTTTTAAAAAGGTCTGGGAGCTGGGGCGGGCAGGGCAGCCATGGGGTGGACCAGGTCCAGGTCCCTGCTGCAGCCACCACGGACCACCCGAATCATCGAAGCTCTCCAAAACCTTTTCCGAAGATTCAGAGAGCTTCGAATTGATTTGGACCTTTTTATTGGTCCCCTGATTCGATTCAGATTTGGAGATTCAGCCGCTGAGTCTCCTCCAAATCGAAACAGCACCCAGAGCTTCGCACAGCGCTACTGTGTGAGCAATGGGTGGTTGATGCCTGAGGCCCTGCAAGGCCTGGGTCAGTGTTATTTGTAGTTTTCTCCAGTTCTAAGAAAAATAAAATAAAATAAAGTTGCCCCCCTGTCCACAGCTGGGTCCCTACCAAACCTGAGATCCCGGCTTCTCAGTATCTCTGCCAAACTCTGGGATGTACCATCCACCGCAATTAATTGGTGACTTCCTGGCTCTCCTCAGAGGCCTGCGGTTACATGAAAACCTGGTGCAGGAGGAGAGCATGGGTAACTTCACTGCAAATCCAAGTGCCGCTCACTGGGCATCTCACAAGCACCTCTACCGAGTCTCTGCCTGGGCCCAAGGATTTCACTTCCTGAGAAGGGGGCTTTGGGCTGAAATGGGGTGGGGGGTGCATGACTCAGCCAAATCCCAGAGGAGCTCTCCCAGCTTTTTTAAATGAGAAACCACTTTCAGTTCATCAGCTCCATTCCTCCCCCAGGCTCCCAGAGCACATGACCTCTGAAAGGAATCGCTGATTCCCCCCAAGAAGCACCTTCTCTTCTAGTCACTCACTTCAATTGTTGTGTTTCTACTGCCCTCTGGTGGGCATGAGCATTAAACTCACTCTGTGGGTCTCCCCTTTCCTCGCCTTGATAGAAATGCCAAAAATTAGCCCCACTTCCTGCCCAAGGGTCACTCCAGTCCTCTTCCCCTGCCCAATTTGCTGCTTTCTGCTTTACCTGCCACTGTGCTGCTTGTCCCCTCCCTGCTCTGTCACATGCCACACAGAGGGCATCTGTCACTAGCGGCACGCATGCTGGAGGCTGCCCCCCCCCGCCTGATGGTTCCCCCACAAGCTAATGTCCACTGGTTTAAATAACTCAAACAGGGGGAAGTGCTCTGTGCTGGTGAGAACAGGCCAAGCCTCGAGCTTATACTTCTACCAGTCATTATTGCTTTCTTGAAGGAGTTTGATCTCAAGCTGAGAAAAATCTGGAACCAACTTCCCAGGGAAGTGGTCCTCGCCCCTACCTTGGGCATATTCAAGAGGAGGTTGGACGATCACCTGTCTGGGGTCTTGTGAACCCAGCATTCATTCCTGCCTGTGGCAGGGGGTCAGGCTAGATGATCTGTTCAGGTCCCTCCTGACCCTAGCTACTATGAAACTATGAAAAAAAGAAGAAACATTAGAACAATCCTGATGGTCTTCAATGAATCTGATGCTGGGGAAAGAGGAAAGAGGCAGTGCCAGTGTCCTACAGGAGAGATATCAGAGAAGCTGCCCCGACTTATAAACTGAGCACTAGGCTGAAGATCATTTCAGCAGAAATGAGAAGATAACTGTGAGGAAAGGGGAGGAGAAAGTTATGGTCTGGCAGCAGCATGAGGACCTGCATGAAGTGGAGTAATCTCCATCTAGCCTTTAAAGTGGAATGTACACATGCAGCAGCAAATTCACCTAGATCTGAAAGATAAACTGGCAGGTGGGTTAAGGGTGGGCCATGGAGGGCAGAGGCACATTGGCAAAAGGGAAATGCGCGCGCACACACCCCACCAATCCCCTGCTGTAAAGCAAGGCCATGCTGGAACCAATCCAGAACTAAACCAAACCTGCAGGCAAAGTTGAAGAGAGTGACTGCCATTAAGGTTTAAAAAACAACAACAACAAAAACTTGTTAGTGGTTTTTTCCCCTCCCCTTCACACAGCTTCTGAAGAGCCCAGTCTCCACAGCATAAAGACAAGGGTGCTTTCTATAGAACCTGCATGGACCCAAATCCCAAGCTATGAGAGTACAACTATGCTCAGAGCACATCCACAGCTGCAATCTTATGGCACCAATAAAACACACACACACCTCCCTGCTACCTGGACTGTCAGAGCTGCATTTGCACAGCACTGCAGGCAGGCTAATTAGCATACTTTCTGAGTCCAGCTACAAGACCTTACAAAACAGTTATATGCCTTCTGGCTTGGGAAGTAGCCACTGTTGGCATTAAATGCTTCATTATCAAACATCCCTCAGTTTTACAAATATGCAAACAATTGTTTCTCCTTTAACATACCAGTAGGCCTATATTGCCATAAAAACAGATATGCCATTCTCTTCACTCACGCTCACCACTTAAAAACATTAAACACATCTCAATCAAAATCCACTTCCAAATCACTGCCCTCTGCTGCTATATACACTTGCCTTTAGAGGCACTATCATGTGCAACCTGCTTCCAAGCATGTCTGTTCACAAGGGACAACACCAAGACAATTTAAGATTATCTGAAGATGGAAAATTGATAAGATATTAAACACTCTGTTCCAAAGAAAGCATTCTTTTGATCTTCCTGAATTCTCAGACACGGTGGCTTCTTAGCAATTATCTGTCATACAAAGAAATGAATTTACTGTCTAAATGTAACAATTATTGTATACCTGGCAACATTGGCGATAGCCCACAGGCATGATGTGAAATGGCCTATTTTAGGTCACTGCTGCTTGGCAGGACAAATCTGCAGAGTAGACATGCCCCAAAAGTATTATACTGCTCTTGATCATACTGAGAAAGAGCAAAAAGGGAATTGGATCAAATACAAATTTAAACAATGGGGATTTTCAGCCATCAGCTTATAGCAGGTCAAAATAACATCCAGATAGGGTTTAAAGACGCAATTTGTCCAACAGCTGCTGAGAAGTTTAAGAGGGCATACAAGAGGGGACACACCAGGATGTCTGAGGCCTTTTTAAGCCAAAGGATCCTTCAGAAAAATACAAGTGTAGTCCTAAAGTGAAGCCAACTGGAGAACAAACCATGAGACAACCTCTAAAATGAAGGGTTAGAGCAGTGGTGC